AGGAGTCCTGAGACTAAAGAGTTTGAGAATTGTGTATTAGATGGAAGCAGAATAAGAAGACTATTTTGGATTATCCAAATATGAGAAGGCTATGCAGCATAGCTAACAAAAAGGTTTTACTGTAGTTTCAGAGTTAAGAACTTCAGTGGTTCATCAACAAGAAATGGAAAATAGAATCAAACACCGAGCTTCCTTTAAAGACACAACTGGTAATGAGCATGATTACAATACACATGGTACCACACAAACACAGTTCAGAGACAGGCACAACTAAGGCCTGGGAAATGAGGGGAAACAGGGATGGGTATGTTCCACAAAGAAGATACAGTCAATTCCGCCCCCCCCTTTTGTTTTTAAGCAGAGCCTCTTTCCCTTCAGTCTGTAGAACAAGTAAAATCTTATCACTGTAGGTAAGTATTAAAAATAGAGTTCAGTGCTCCAGAGATGGGCCATACACTGTGCTCATTGATCTGTTTAAAAAACATACCTATACTATTGTATACTTTCTTGGGACCCTCTCTCACTGCTCGTTGTCTATTACAATAGCATTCTTTCCACTGGGGGAGAATTTTAACTTGCCACCAAATAGTATGACCCCATAACTTCCCCACTTTTTTCTTTAAAGATTTTATTTTTAAGTAATCTCTATACCCAGCATGGGACTCAAACTCATAACCACGAGATCAAGAGTCGCATGCTCTTCCAACTGAGCCAGCCAGGTGCCCCCATAATATCCCAGTTTAAACATCCTAACCAAACACCAGTACCTTCAGCACCATTAAAAAGAAGCAAGAGCAGAGAGGGCATCTCCTTACCTACAAAGCTTTTGACATCTACTCTCCTTTGAGCCCCTCAACAAGCCTATGAAAAATGGGTAGTAGGCATCATTTATTCCCACTTTACAGATGAGACCCAGAAAGGCCAACTTGACTGAAGTTACCAAGGAGGTTCAGGTCAGTACTATGGCCAGCACCCAGCTACCTGTCTTCTAAACCAGTGCTCTCTCTCCTTTAGTAGCAGCCTTGGAATACCTGTCACCTCCACATCCCTAGCTTTGCCCTTCCTACATGACAGATTTCCAATACTGAATTCTGCCTTTGGGACAAAAGATACATATATTTATATACAGGACATATAAATGCATATGATAAGCCAGCAGGATGTATTTCACATCTGCTTTACCTCTGCCTTCCCGTTTCCCTTCTGGATCTGCTCTTTTAGAGACCCTCTTATAGATCACAGAGCTTTGAGATCCTCTAATGAACCCTACAAATCCTATTCCCCACAAACTACACACATATACACACACAGAGTTCGAGGCATCTTTGTCCTCTGAGGGCTCCCCTTGGGGCTTAGGCTGCCCTAAGTTCGAACCGCTACTTGAGAGTCATCGTCCGCTCACACTCCTGCACCAACTAAGAAAAAACTCCCTCATTAAGCACAATACAGTCTCCATGTTCCAGGAGGGAAAGGATAGGCTTGTTCTGTCTTGTTTGGCATTTGTCTCAGTTACTGAGAAAAGCAATGGAATACACAGGGAAGGGATTTCCCTAGATGAGGCCAAGTGAAGGCTGCATGACCTCTGGGAGGGATGATGTAAAGATCTGAGTCCTGAATCATGGTCAAACGAGGTGACCTAAAGGGTCCCTTGTAATCCAAGAGACTGATTTTGGAATGCTCTACACAATGGCAGAAACTCACCTTGGGGGAGAGTCCATCCCCAAGAAGAGACTACTCGAAGTCCAAAGACACCAACCCCCAAGAGAGGACCAAATTTGTGATACAACTGGTTTTAGCCATGCCACATGGCACTTGTGACTGGGGCCTGCAGCCCAAGGGGTCCAGACAGCAGCAGATACAGAGAGGGAGGCTGTTGTAAGGGAAAGACAATACTGGGAATCACAGGTATGTACCACCCATCAGCCCCACCTGGTTCCAGATCTACTATATGCACAGCTTCAAAATGTTCAGCCTATTGCCCTTCCTATGTTCGCAGAGTCTCCACTCTTGACACCTAGAGGGCATGAGGAGGTGGGAATTTCTAACTGCTTTCCTTTATCATCCAGGATTCGGAAAGAAAAATCTCTCTGAAGCCCCACGAATGAATACTGGACACACTGGGCTGGGGCTGACCTGGTGATGGAGACCAGTGGTCAGTCTCTAGGTATTCCTTCAGAGGAGCAGGGACACCAACAGATGGCGGGGGAAACGTGACTGACTATTTGGTACTCAAGATCTGAGGCAAGCAAGCAGGAGGCAGCCTGGGAACAGGAATACAGAGAATCACAAGAGCACGGGACACAGGAGGAAAGCACAGCCAGTGCAGGAACCATGAATGGATACAAGTGATGGGCTAGACACAGGTAGAATACAGGGTTCCCCAAATCCCACATTTGCTTTCTGCCATCCCAGGGTTTGCCATCTGCAGGTATCATTTGTGCAAGAACTCAACAGTTCTTGTAAAGGGACTCTTCCTTAAAAACTTACCCTCATCCTAAGGAATAAAGTGCTAGTTCTGCTTTTTTCTAATATACATTAGAATAAGACGTAAGTACTAACAGAAAAGTGTTTTCCACATTCCACCTAAAATAACCTGGCACCACACACAGGCCCAGGAGCCACACTTAGACACATGATAGTAGCTACGGGTCCTAAGTCTGGAGTTTGGTCCCAACTGCAGCCTCCTCTCGCAGCATGACCTCTGTGGGAGCCCCACCTCCCCATCTCCCAAAAAAGGAAGACTAGTGGAGTCCTACAGCTTCGCTGCAGAGCTCTGACAAAGGTACTCACCAAGCCAACATGTTAGCACAGTCTTAGAACACAGTTTCTGCTATTTTGGGGTGGATACAGATGGGAAGAAGGGAAAAGCCTCTGGAAGCTGAGGCAGGAGACTCAGGAAGACAGGTCTAGCAAAGAAGGAACCACATCAGATTTAAAACCAAACACATGGCATCTCCATTAACTAGCCACATTTAAGTTATCGTTTATAAAATGAGGATCACCATGCCCTTTATTCCTTAAATTTATACCAATGCTCCTAAGCTTTCATTCAACCTGAACTTTCAAAAATGATACACTGACAATCCTCAACGACTCTTGAAAGTCCCATTCCGATTTGCACATAAAAGCTGGACGATATCTGGACCCTTCCCACTAGTTACCAGCTCAGTTTTGACAACCTCACTAGAGGAGCCATATTTGTTAAATGAAGAAATGTATTGCATTACCTGCCTTTTATAGGGATAAACTTTTTTTAATTGACGCAAAGGACAAGAGTGGACAGAAGTACCCAATGTGGCAGTTCATAAAGCCCGGTCTGGTGTCCACTGGACTTGACTTTGGTTAAATGTATGCTCGAAATAAGGGAAAAGTGAAGAATGCTGGAAATGTATGAGCCAAGATTAAATCAAAAGGCAAAGTACAGTTAGGGAGTTTATACTCTTCTTTACTTTTTAGAGCACAGAACCCCTCCGTAAAATGCATGCGTCTTGAATCACATTTATCATACTCTATCTCTGTATGTTTTCAAAATGCCGTCTCATCTCACAAAAGCTTTGAAGGAGTCTGCAGAAAAACACAGATAAAGCTGGATGAGAGCAAATATAAATCAGAGGGCCAAAAACATAAGATCTAGGTATGCATTTTATTGTCTGTAAATGACATCTAAAACACACCTCAACTTTAAAAAGCAAAAACAGAAGAAAGAACCAAACAAAAAAGCCAGGGGCAAAGGAAAACAAGAAGTACAGGCAGCAGGTCCTGCAGCTGGAGTTAACTGAGCTTCCTGCCAGCCAAAGCTACAAGGGAAATGTGACCGTCTCCTGATTCCTGTTGCAGAGGCATCAGATCTAAAACTAATTTCTCTGAGGTACCTGCAGTGAGGGACAGTATCCTTGAGGACAGCTCTGTGGTAAAATACGTTACAGTGTTTTCTCAGACCATTCCTGCCTGTATATATCAATGTTAGCCAAGTGAACATTTCTGCAGCCTGAGTTGGGTGAGCAGGAGATATAAGTCCAATGAGCAGCTTGGAGCCTCAAATGAAACAAGGACAAAGAGCTCAGGAAGCCGTGAACCCTTAGGCAAGGGGGGTGGAACGGACTACCCAGTGTGACCAAGCCAGGGAAACTCACGAGTGGCTCGGGCACCTGCCCTAACCCAATGCAACTGACAAATAACTCCGTTACCGGGGGTGCTCTCCAAAATAACCACCAAGGGCCCTCCAGGGCACATCCATTGAGCTCCATGTAGCAGAGGCCCCTGACTAGGCCCCCACATCCATTTCCTCCTTCATCTTTTAATCATGGAAGCCCCAGGGTTTTAACTGGACACATGGTCACCGAAGTAAGAAGCTCTATGTCCCAGCACCCCTTTCAGCAAAGTGTGGCCACACTGATTTGAGGGACTCCAGGTCATATCCTTTAAAAAGAAAGTGCTTTGCTCTCTCTTTCCCCGGTGTATTGTAGACACGGAACTGATGAGTCTGCTTTGACCTGGTGGGCAAGGTCAACACCCCAAAGTTGGCTGAACAAGATAGAAGGAACCTGAGGTCCTGGTGACCGTGTACAGTTAAATCTGCCCCATACCATCTGATTACATCTGTACTATTAGAAGAGAGAAGAAGAACCTTCTACTAGGAGCCACTGTACTTTAGGTTCTCTTTGTTACAGCAGCTTGGCTTATGGCTTAACCTCATTCACAACAGAACGGAAAGATGCCAGAGGGAGACTCCAAAGGACTCCGGCAGTATCCTAGAAAAGTCAACTCACAGTTCACTTCAGCAAACAGGTCAAGAAATGACAGCCATCACACCAAGTTATGCCTTCTACTCCTTCTCCAGGAGAGGCCCAACTGCATCCCTGGAGTAGAGGAAGAGTCCTTTATTACAGCCCAGCACAGCCCAGCCCAGTCCATCCACTGTGGACCGAGGCCAAATCTGCAACAGCTGGAGATACAGACTGCTTTCCCACCAACACTGGGCAGGGACAGCCCTGTCCTACCTTTTCCCTAAAGCAGGAAAGCTCCTCACTTCTCCACTCTTCGTAATTACCATTCTTGAGAACAGGCCAAGTCCAGTAAGGCGTAGGGTGAAGCAGCTGCTGGGGGGCTGTGTGTGAGGGTCAGGGGAGGGGAGTCCAGATCCCCAGAACAAAAGTCACAGCTGAGAGGAGGGAGAGAAGCCTCCATGTCTGCCCTGGGTTTCTGGGGTCCAGGGGTCTCAGGGTGCAGCCCCTGCTCTTCCTGCACCGACCCCCTGGTGACAGAGCTCAGCTAGGCAGCCACCAGTCACTAACGAATCCCAGCCACCGGCACCTGCTGCTGCTTGCGGATCTTATTGAAGAGTTCCATGTACTGGATCATGGTATCTGCTGGGCCATAGACGGCATCGTGTCTGTTCCCAAACACCGCAGGAGCCCCTGGTGTGTGGCTGCCTAGAAAACTCTGTAGGAACTCAAGCAGCAGGCTCCAGCAGTCGCTAGCTACCACACAGGGGCCATACTCCACCTGGGGACCAAAAGAACAGAGAACAAGGGTGAGTGCAGGAAAGGACAAGGTCTTCTGCTTCTCTTGCACCTCTTGCCCACTGCTCCCATCTTCTCCAACCCCAAGCCAAAGACACACACCTTCTAACAGTATTGCTCCACAGGAAAAACCCAAGCCACACACCAGGAATTCCACATTCCCTTTAGGGATCTCTGACATTCTCATCTTGGGAATTATCAACCCACAACCCCAACCCACAAGACCCAGGACAGGATAAAGGCCCCTTCTGATGATCTCAGAACTGTACAGTCCCTGCTATGGTACATTAAGATCCAAGGAGAGCTCAAGAAAATTCTGACAGAAAATGAAGAACAAGAGAATGTAAAAGTGTGTATCTGTGTGTGTGTCCACAGGGGGCAAAGGAGACACACATGCTCTTAAGTCTCTTTAAGACCAAACATAACCCCCACAATGGACCCCACCTGACCCTAAGAAGTAATTTCCCCACCAATGTGGCAGGGGCCAAAGGAGATACATCTTACACTTTCTCAATCCTTTCTCCTAGTTTTTCACTGGAAAGATGGCAGGGAAAATAATTAGTAACCATAAGGAAAAACACGTAAAGAAAGAACTGGGATGTATTTGTACCATAAAGCTGGAAATATGAAGGACAGGCAGACAGTGGATTCCCAGTGGGTCTCAGCAAATGCGAGGTGTATCACAAGCCAAAAGGGGTCAGGAAATCTTGGTCACAGGGGTCCCTGGACTTTCAGAGCAGTAATTACTGCTAAGGCCCTTTTCTCTACCTGGAATGCTTTGTGAGTCTCATCTATCCCCGTATCTCTACACTTTAAGTCTCTCTTTACATGCTACTCCTGAAGAAAGCATCCCAATCCTCAAAGTCAGCAGTGCTCTCATTGGCCTGAATTCCCAGAGCAATCTGTGCCCGGGAATGTACAGACTAACTTCAGAAACACTTTGTTTTAGCTTCGCTCATTTACTAACATATGTTTTCAAAAGGCAGGCCCCTGTAGCTCACCTATTTTTTTTTTTTTTTTTTTAATCTCACACAGTGCTGGGCATGTGGTAGACTGAGGAATTTCACTGGTCCCAAAGCCAGCTATGCCACATTCTTTGTGGTTTCCAGTATACACCTCAGAGATGAAGTCTCCCCCCCCACACACCTCTTTCTACCATGAAAGAAAGTCGACAGCATGCCAAAAGGAAAGGCTCATCTTGCTACACAACCTTTGTGACCTATCTTAAGTTGTACTGTGGAAAAGTATGTAGACACATGATTTAGGGCCCACCTCCCAAAAGTTACCTACACAAAAAGTTGCCCTGGTTTGCTCCAGTCCTTGTGATGGGTGACTGGTCCCTTGACTATCCCTTCCCTTCTCCTAAGTCTTCTATCTGCTCTGACCCCAGCGTCCCATTCCCATCAGGGGCCAGAGCCTGAATGATTCAAGAAAAGGTAAAGGGCAGGGACAGAGGAGCACACAGGCCCTGGAGACAGGGATGAGGAAGGCATAAGTGCCTGTCTGCATTCAGAGGGGTGAGAAAACCTGCAGGGCCCTCTGCTGAGCGGCCCTTCAGCACACACTGCTCCTGCTTCCCCAAGGTCTTACCTCTACGGAGATGCCCCGGGCACTGGGCCCCATGGTGACTGTGCCCACCTTCACTAGGAAGTCACAGTACTGGTAACGGGTACCCCGTGTCTCAATCTTGCTAGCCTTGGCACTCTGGAAGAAGCCCTTGAGTTTCACCATGAGCACGTCGAAGTTGGTGTCGGCAATAAGCCAAGGGCCATTCTCAAAGAGGGCAAAGCAGCTCAGAGGGTACTCTGAGTTGTGCATCACGTACATCAGCTTCCCAGCCTGACCTGCAGGGAAAGGGAGCCTATCAGCATCAAAATCTTCATCCTCAAACCCCGGGATAGAGTCAAATGTGCGCAACAGGGCCAGATGGCAATCTGCCATTACCTCAGCCATCTTGGAGGGCAATGGCCAGGGGTGGGGGGCAGAATTCCCCTCACCAACACTCTTTTTCAAAGAGGAAGAGAGAAGAATGGCAGGCAAGGCAGCATGTGGTAAAACCCCGCTCTACAGAAAACATGAAGACCACAAGGGAATTTCGATAGAGCTAGTTACAGTTTAGTTGATGATCTCCTAGATGGATGCTTGATGTCAAATAAATAAAATCTTTTTTTTTTAAAGATTTTATTTATTTATTTATTTGACAGAGAGAGAAATCACAAGTAGGCAGAGAGAGAAGGGGAAGCAGGCTCGCCGCTGAGCAGAAAGCCCGACGCGGGGCTCGATCCCAGGACCCTGAGATCATGACCTGAGCTAAAGGCAGAGGCTTTAACCCACTGAGCCACCCAGGTGCCCCAAATAAATAAAATCTTCAGCAAAAAAAAGATTTTATTTATTGGAGAGAGAGAGAGTGAAAGAGAGAATGTGTGTGCACGAGCAGAGGGGAACAGTACAGGGAGAAGCAGACTCCTCAATGAGCAGGGACCTGGATGCAGAACTTGATCCCAGGACCCTCACATCATGAGCTGAAGACAGATGCTTAACCAACTGAGCCATCCAGGTGCCCAAACCCTTGGAGTGCTTTAATGTATTAGCTGATTTGGGTGATTTCTCTGAGAAATGAGTTTTCTCACTGATTACTACTAGAGATTCTCTGCAAGAAGAAAGGAAAGCTACATATATTTGGTTAACTGAAAATGGAAAGCAAGATCCCCCTCTCATATACAACAAGAATCAATGGATAGACTACCACAATCCCAAGTATTTATTAAGACTTAACTATAAAATATTTATTAAGTACTTAACTATCCCTAATATTTATTAAAAATATTTCATTTATTTATTTGTCAGGCAGAAGGAGAGAGAGAGAGAGCGCGCGCGCACACAAGCAGGCAGAGAGGCAGGCAGAGGCAGAGAGAGAAGCAGGCTCCCTGCTGAGCAAGGAGCCCATGCAGGACTTGATCCCAGGGATCATGACCTGAGCTGAAGGCAGCAGCTTAACCCAATGAGCCACCCAGGCATCCCTATCCCCAATATTTTTTGCAAGAGTTTAAGAGGCAATGCAAGTGGAGGACTTAGCATCTGGCCTCAGGAAGCTGATGCTCTCATTAAAGACAGGTGAGGGGCACCTGGGTGGCTTGGTCAGTTAAACATCTGTCTCTAGCTCAGGTCATGATGCCAGGGTCCTGGGATCGAGCCCCACGTCAGGCTTCCTGCTCAGGTGGAAGTCTGCTTCTCCCTTTCTCTCTCCCTCTGCCCCTCCCCACTGCTCTTTCACTCTTTCTCTCTCAAATAAATAAATAAAAATCTTTAAGAAAAAAAAAAAAATAAAGACAGGTGAAAAACTTTTAAAGAGACTGTAAGACCAAAATGCTTACATGGGACAGACCAGAAGTCTTCTTGGAAGGAAGATCAGAGCAGAAGAGATCAAATTGTGCAAGAATCAGCAGGAAAAACTTTCATGGAGAAAACAGGACCTGAACTATGAAATGAGGAGAGGACAGAGTTCAGCTGCACGGAGGAGGAAAGACATCCTAGTTTAACAGTGGGAAAGAGGAGATGGGGCGGAGACAGCTCTACACAGGCCTCCACTTTGCTGCCACTTCCAAAACTCAACAGGCTCTGTGCCAACCGCCCCCCACATCCCTCCTGTCCACTTGCTGCCAATGCATACCTTTCACCTCCTGCCAAACCCAGTGCATAAAAAACAAAAGTACCCAAAGATGATCTGTCATTCTGTTCTTGTGCAAACTCCCTGTAACTATTTAATTCATACTATAGGAGTCTGCAGGAGTTCTTACTGTCTTAAAAATATTTTGAAAGGGGCGCCTGGGTGGCTCAGTGGGTTAAAGCCTCTGCTTTCGGCTCAGGTCATGATCTCAGGATCCTGGGATCGAGCCCCACATCGGGCTCTCTGCTCAGCAGGGAGCCTGCTTCCTCCTCCCTCTCTCTGCCTGCCTCTCTGCCTACTTGTGATCTCTTTCTCTGTCAAATAAACAAATAAAATCTTTAAAAAAAAAATATTTTGAAAGTCAGCTAAGGTTTTTGTTTTTGTTTTTAATGAAGAAGGCACTGCCAATTGTTTACAAACAACAGTATTTTTTAAATCAAAATAAAGTATCTTTGGGGATGCCTGGGTGGCTCAGTTGGCTAAGTGTCTGCTTTTTTTTTTTGAAAGATTTTATTTATTTATTTGACAGACAGAGATCACAAGCAGGCAGAAAGGCAGGCAGGGGTGGGGGGAGCAGGCTCCCTGCTGAGCAGAGAGCCCGGAGCTCAATCCCAGGACCCTAAGATCATGACCTGAGCTGAAGGCAGAGGCTTAACCTAGGCGCCCCTAAGAGTCTGCTTTTGGCTCAGGTTATGATCTCAGGATCCTGGGATCAAGCCCTGCATAGTCTGCTTCGCCCTCGTTCTCTCCCCCAGTTTGTGCTTTCTCTCTCTCTCAAATAAATAAGTCTTTTTTAAAAAGGTATCTTTGTATCAGCACAAACTTGTGAAGCAAGCAGAACCAGTGTTACTCTCCCC